CGTCTGGCTGGCGCCTGTGCGCAGGTCGAGCTGTTCCCCATTGATGATGTCTTCCTGGGCATGTGTCTGCAGCGCCTCCGGCTCACCCCAGAGCCTCACCCGGCTTTCCGCACCTTCGGCATCCCCCCACCGTCGGCGGCGCCCCATCTCCGCACCTTCGATCCCTGCTTTTACCGGGAGCTGGTTGTGGTGCACGGGCTCTCGGCTGCTGACATCTGGCTCATGTGGCACCTGCTGCAGGGGCCGCCTGGGCCCGCCTGTGCGCATCCACAGCCTGCTGCTTCGGGCCCATTCCAATGGGGAGACACTTAACTACAGGTCACGGCATCAGGCCCTCTCAGACCCAGAATGGCGTGGGGAGGGATTCCCTGTGAGGATGATTTTTGTGCTTCCTTCATAGGTGGCCGTCTGTCTCTGTGGGCCCCACAGAATGGACTTCAGATTAGGCTAAGGCATAGGTCTAGAAGTGGTTTGATGTTGACTTGCTGATGTCACCAGGGCAGAGGTGGTGGCAGTCCATCTTGTGCCTACAGGTCCCACAGCCGTGGAGTTTCTGGCAGGAATGGCAGGGGCTTCTGGAGTCCTGTGCAGTCTTTGGCTTGGCCCACAGGTCTCCTTCCCCCGAGACTAGTCCCCATAGGACAGTGAGGTGACCCAGCAGGTGTCCTGCCCCTCCGTATGGATGTCCCCAGCCCCAACTAGGTCTTTCAGGCCTGCGCTCCTAGGGCTAAGGTCTGGAGTCACAGGGATAGCTGAATGGTTGCACCTTAGTTCGTCTTCCCCTTCTACCCACACCCCCTGTACCCTGGCCTCTTACAAGAAGCTGTCACCTGTCCCAGGGAACCTCCCTCTTCCCCCTGCATGAATGTCCCCATTTTGCTCAGCCACCCCCATTCTCAGAAAGCCCAACACCCCACTTATTTTAGTACAAACACAGCAACAGCATGCGGCAGGCCGCTGCTGAGGGCTCAAGTGCTTTATTGGAGAGGGACTGCGGGCAGGAGTGAGGAAGGCTCCCCCTTTTTCAGAAGGATGGGGATGGTCCTGGCCACAGTCCATGTGGGGAGACACCAGTCACAGGAGCGCCACGTGAGCTGGCTGTGGGCCAAGGAACCGGACAGGTGCCTGGGGCAGGTCCCCTGCACCTTCACTGAACTATACAGGATGAAGCTGTACATGAGTTAATTACAAAAGTCATATTTACAAAAATCTGTACACACATTTGAAAAACTCACAAAATTCATCTATGTATCACAAGTTGCTAGACCAAAATATTAAAAATGGGATAAAATTATACATTTCTTATTTCTTTTCAAAAGGTTAATATTCTTAAAGCACTATGCTACTTTCCATCAGCAAGACCCATGATGAGGGGACAGTGCCCACGACTGGGGCAGGGAGTCGGCCCACAGGGCGGTACAGATGCTGCAACAACACAAGGAAGATGTCTTTGGCTAAAACTTTGGCATGAAAGAAAAGAGGCAAGCAGGATGGAGATGCACAGCCCTGCAGCCGGGCTGGGGCGGAGCGGAGGAATAGGGGCCTTGAAAGCTGGCTCCAAGGCGTGGGGGCCAGGCCTGGGCACAGGCCTCAGTGGCAGAAAGCTGTACTTCAACCAGCTGGCTGCGCCTACTGAGCCTGGCAGGGAGAGCGTGCAAGAAAGGAAAAGGGCAGTGGGCCACCTGGCCAAAGTCAGCTCATCAAGTAATGAAAGTGGATGTAGTGCAAATGTGGCAACCAAGGACAATGGACACGCACTACCTGCCTGCTTTTACAGTCATATGGCAACGTGGGGCCAGAGGCAGGACCCTGTCCTCATGCTGGGCCCCTGTGTCCTCAGCTATAGAAAGAGCCCCGAGTTTCCCCAACGTGGGTGGGGCAGGTGTGGACACATCCTGCCTCCTGGCGTGCTAGTCAGGAGCTCCCAGGGCAGGAATCGAAGCTCAGTCTGTGCTGCTCTTTGCAGTTGGGGTCCCCTGCTGGCACCAGCAGGCTGAAGACAGACCGAGGCGCATCTGGAATCCTCATCCTATGCGGCACACCTAGCCCGAGCCCCCTCCGAATGGCACAGCAGCTGGCAAAGCGTCTGAGGAAGCCCATGGTGTGGCACAGAGGCCTGTTGAGCAGGAAGCGCTGCGCCCTTCCACAGGGCAGAGAGGCAAGGGGTGATGTCCTTAGGGGAGCTCGGCTGTCCTCAGGTGGGCACCGGGCCTAGGGGGGCCGTACAGAGTCACTGAGGCAATGTGGTTGTTCTGCATGACCTGGTGGTATGAGAATGGGCAGTGGGTCAGAGGCACAGTGAGGGGATGCAGGCACGGGGCTTAGAGGCGGTGGGATCAGTCCACCTACACACAGAGGCTGGGCTTCCTGGCCCACTAACACCTGGGGGCTGCTCTGCCCAGGAACTCACCTGTTCCTTCACTACAGGCCAGTCCTTCTGGGACTGTTAAGGGCCTGCTGAAGGCATAGCATCCAGAGAGAAAATGGGCCACCCACTTTTCCCCCAAGTTTGGGATCTCCCGAGATGCCTGGCCATAGTAAATCCCCCCCAACCTGACAGTGCTGGGTCTCACTTGTCCTGTGGTTCCCCCTTGCTGGACACAGGGGAGGCCCCATACTCAAACAGCCAGTGCCTGCTGGGGAAAGATTCATCTGCCCTCAGTTGCTGGCCTGCCCCTGTGAGGACCACAAATCCCCTCACCTTTCAGCAGTTAATATCTAGGCCTCCAGGACTTACCTCAAAGATCATACGCTGAAGGCCGAAGCAGAATGTGGAGCCAAATGGGTTGGTGTTGTTCGGAGAGGAGGACCTGAGGTGAGAAGCCAGAGTTAGAGGGGCAGATTGAGGGCAAGGTCAAGCAGGGAGGGAAACCAGTTCCTTTTGGGATGTGGGTTGCAGGCCAGTGGTTGCTCATAGCGGTGGGTATATGTCTCCCACAGAGGGCGCTGCTAAGGTAAGGATGGCTTCATTCAGAACTGTACGGAGCCTGACGGGGCACAGAATTACCGTGGAACTAGAGTGTGAGAAGTCAGGAAGGCCACAGCAGGTGGGGCTTTGATGAGAGCCTCGGCAGCCAGCAAGGTGGTAACCTCTCTTTTTAACTAGGGGGCCCCTATACCTGGAGATCAGGTGACAGGAACTGTCTCATGTGGCCATTTCTTTGCCACAAACACACAGAATAGCTGGCTCTCAGGCTGGGCAGGAAGTATGCTTGTTGCAATACTAGAAGCTTCTGTAACATCCATGCAGTACCACTGCCAGGCTTTCCTGAGCTCTCTGGGATGGGAGGGATGGGACAGAGTGTAACCACAGCTTGGCACTCACCTGTGCAGGACAACAGGCTTTTCCACAGGGTGACCCAGGAGCTCCTGGATGTTGTCCCACTGTGAGACAGAGCATAGGGGTTAGCTGGTGATGACCCAGACAACACGGCCTCGTACTGTCTGCAGGTTTGTGCCCGCCACATTCTCAGGCTCTGTCAAGAAAATAGGCTCTCACCTTGCTATAGGTTGTGCACGTTTCTGTCTGATCGTCTGCATTTTCTGAGAAAAAAAAAAAAAGCACACAGGGTGAGTTGGTGACTGGCCCAGCCCTAGGTCTGACCCTCGCACAGGCTGCAGTGCATAAGGAGCACACGAAGGCCAGCTGGAGCTCGGGGGTGCAGAGCGGTCAGCCCGTGTGGGCCACATGAGTTGGCAGGGAATAGAGGGCACTCAGCATGGGTGGTGAGCACTGGAGGGTTATCCCAGGAAATGCTCCTCCACCTCCTGAGGACAGCAGTGCCGCAACCCCAGGAAAGGCCCTCTGGGGCCTCCAAGAACGGAGCAGTCTGCAGATGAGGTGGCGGCTACGGAAGCAGGTAGGCAGAGGCTCTCCCCTGGGGATTCGGGGTAGGAGTGGGAAACTGAGTCACAAGCACCCTCCTTACCCCCAGGGCACTCACTGCTCACCTTTCTTTATGGCCAGTGGGATCTTGAACTCACAGCGGTGATAGCTACAGAAAAGGCAAAGAGGTAAGGGCAAGACTTCCTGGGAAGCCTGGGCACTGCTGCTTCCCAACCCAGCCCCTGGGAATGCAGGAATTCAGGGCAAATAAATTGCGCTTTCCTGGGGTTTTTCAGCCCAAGGCTTCTTCCTAAGACACTACTTACATGTTGAAGTTATAGTGTCCAGGGTAATTGGTATGTAGGACAAATTTCTTCACTTTGTGTGTATTTGCATCAAACAGGATGTCCTGGGATAGAAAACAAGGTGCTTAAGTTGGAAATGTCCCTGAGGCAGGACTGGGCTCTTTCCAAGGTCTTATTCACAAGAGTACCCCAGGCCAAGAAGCCCCAACTGGACATTTTCAGTGGGCAGAGGACCCAACTATTGCTAGTTCAGGCAGACACAGGGGCTACACTCCCTGGAAAGTAAAAGGTGAAAGCTTTCCTGCCAGCCCTCCGTGGGAGTGAAACTCCAGCCTGATCTCTCAGAAAGGGTTGGCTCTAGACTCGGCATTGGCCACTGGACACCCTTCTATCTCTTTGCAGTTGCATGTTCTGTCCTGGTCCGCAAGTACAGGGTTACCTAGGATTCTGCCCTGACCTAGTAAATAGATGAGTGTTACTGGGGCTGTGTCCCTCCATCTCTCCATCTTGCCTGTCATCAGCTGTCACTGGGTCAGGCACACAGGTCCCTTACAGCAGTACCATGCTGCCCACAGGAGTATATGTCCCACAGCCATTCACCAACCCCTCCTGGCTACTCACGGGTCTCCCTCTCTGTCACCTAACCCTCACTGCCTCAGGAACTTGGAACCTAGAAGACCCAGCGCTTAGAGGACCTGTACTCCAGCCACCCCTGCGACAGTTCTTGCTAGTACACTGCTGCCCCAATCATTTCTCATCCACGTGTGCTGCCCAGCAGCAGTGATACTGACCCCTGGCTCCATCTGGCACCCCAAGTCCGCTGTGCTGCCCCTGGAGTGGGCCACTAAAAATACCCCAGGTCTTTTCTAGACTCTGGTGCTCTATGATAACCTGCTTTCTGGAGTCTCCATGTTTTCCCTCAGAAAAGAAGTCATGACACAGCAGGGAGCCTGTATTTCTCAGCCTTCCAGAGGCAGGAAAGGTCAAGGGGCAAAGCCATCAGTTCACTGTGGCCCAAGCCTGGCTGCTGCCACACACGAGCACACAGGTATGCTAACACCCCTTGCCCACCCCGCGCAAATGAAACTGCAACTCACCACTCCAAGAGTGAAGTAGTTAAAAAAGTAGTCATTGCACTTAGAGGGAACTTGCTTATGAGGGGAAGGAGAATGAATTTTCATCTGTTGGGAAAAATTAATATTGAATTAAAGTCCAACTCCTTAATGCAGTTTTGACAAATTCTTTGTAGAACTTTCAGCTGCAAGCAAGAATGCAGGCATCAGCTGCCACAGATGAGGGGCTTGGTCCAGCAAAGGCAGGCACAATAGGCAGGGGCAGAGGCCGAATTTTCCATTACTTCATTACCAACTTTAAGTAGAATAGGTTTTAAGGGAAGCACAGCAAACGTTGATATAGTAGTCTCACATTTACAGCCTGTTCATTCTGTAAACACATCCCCCTACCTTGTCTTCAGATTTATAGAAGACTTTGTGTGGAGAGCCAAGCATGCTAAGAACATCTTGGCAGGAATCGCCAAAATATACTGAACGTTCAAACACCCGCATCTTGGCATCTGCTAACAGGCCGGGGCCACAACCTGCGGAGAAGAAGGGATGGACTGTCAGGACTGGGGACCCCGGAGCCCCAGGCACTGGGACTGCAGAGGATACTTGGCTTGTAACCTGCCCAGGTGAGACTACCTTCTGTTTTAGGAGACAACTTTAGTGTGGTTTTCTAGAGTGTGTCTTCGATAAAACATCCTGGGAACCAAGACATGTTAAAAGCATCACTGTAGGCACACTTCTTATGGAAGAAATGGGTTCACTGAGACCCTGGTGCCTGCCAAAGGAAAGCCTCAGTCAAGGTAAGATTGGATAACCCTGTGAGGCGCCATCTGCACAGTAAGTGCTGCCCTACGGACAGTGGGGGCGGTGTGATGTGCAGCTCCTGGGAGTGTGTGGTACAGGGTGGCAGCCAGAACCTGCTGTGACTCCCAAACTCAACAGGCTCCCTTGCTGTCACTTGTGATGATTAACACACCTTCATAACCAGCCATCTGGGGAGTGAACCAGTGGATGGAAGATCGTCTCTTCTTTCTGTAAATCTACCTTTCCATTAAAAACAACAAACAAACAAACAAAACCAAGCAAAAACCACACACACAAAATCCAAAAAAAACCTATTGCATTTCTATTTAAAAACCGAAAACCAAAAACTGTTTGATTTTGCTACCAAATCTCAATTCTCACTAAAAAAAACACTTGAAATGCACCACCCCTGCGGCCTGTGCTATGGCCTGCCACACAGGCATCCTATATGGGTGCCGGTTTGAATCTTGGAGGCTTCACTTCCTACCCAGGTCCTTGCTAATGTCCCTGGAAAAGCAGCAAGGACAGCCCGAGTGCTTGGACCTCTGCGCCCATTTGGGAGACCTGGAATAAGCTCCTGGCATTGGTCTAGTCCAACCTTGGGCTTTACTGCCACTTAGGAGAATGAACCAGGCATTGGAAGATCTGTCTTTTGCCTTTCATATAAATATAATAAATCTTAAATAAGCATCTCACAACACTCCTTCAAGTAGTTCTTGTTTTGCCTTTATTAGAAGACCACATTTTAAGATATTTCTAACCTGGAGGCTACTGTTGAGGGGAGACTTTTTTTTTTTTAAGACTTCATTTACTCATTTGAAGACTGAAGGCCAGAGTTCCTTCATCTGCTGGTTGACTTCCTACATGGCCCAAACACTTAGGCTTTTCCACGCATGTTAGCAGAGAAAACACAAACCAGCACAGATACGGCAATGCTGGTATTGCAGAAAGCAGTTTAACCCACAGTGCCGGCCTATGCCACAGCCTTATTTATTTAAACTGGAAAAGCACACTATAGAGGAGAGACAGGAAAAAATCTTCCACCCACTGGTTCACTACTCAGGTAGCCCTGATGGTCAGAGCTGAGTTGATCTGAAGCCAGGAGCTTCTTACAGTTCTCCCAATGGGAACAGGGGTCTAAGGACTTGGGCCATCCTCCACTGCTTTCCCAAGCCATAAATAGGGAACTGAATGGGAAGTGGAGCAGCCAGGACATGAACCTACTCCCCATATGGGATCCTGGGGCTTATAGGTGAAGGCTACACTAGTTGAGCCATTGTGCTGGCTCCTCCAATGTCTTAAAAAATATTTAGTGGTTGTTGTTTTGCATAGTGGCTACTTGGAATGTCTATGTCCTGTAGTGGAGTGCCTAGTTTGAGATCCGGCTACTTCCCTTCTGTCCAGCTTCCTGCTAATAGAGCAGATGATGGCTCTAAGTACTCGAGCCTTCCACATGGGAGACTGGGATGGTGTTTTGGGCTTCTAGCTTTGGCCTAGTTCAGTAGTGAACCTGTAGATGAGATCGATTATATACCTTTCAAATAAAAGGAAAGAATTTTCTAAAATAATGCTTGCCATAGCCCAGACTGGGTTAAGCTATAGCCAGGAGCCAGGAATTTAATCCAGGTGTCTCAAAGATGGGACAGGAAGACAATGTTGCATTTCAAGGTCTGCCACTAACAGGAGGCTGGAGGTGGGCATCAAATTCAAGTACTCAAATGTGGCATGGCCAATGACAGCTGCTCCACCAGTACCTTTAACTTGTTTTAAAAGGAGACTCAGGGAGGAAGAAACAAGATCCTCCACCTGCTGGTTCACTCCCCAAATGGCTGCAATGACCAGGATGAGGTCAAGCCAAAGCCAGGGGATAAGAGCTTCTTCTTGGTCTCTTATGCGAGTTCAGGGCACCAAGAACCTGGGCTATCCTACAATGCCTTCAGTCATCAGCAGAGTTGTCTTGCCCATGCAGCAGCCAGGACCCAAACCACCTCCCATATGGGATGCCGGCATAGCAGGCAGCAGCCAGAGACACAGGGAGAAAGATCTTTTCTCCGCTGGTTAACTCCCCAAGTGGTCACAATAGCTGGAGCTAAGTGGATCTGAAGCCAGGAGCCAGGAGCTTCTTCTGGATCTCTGACACAGATGCAGGGTCCCAAGACCCTGGGCCATTATTTCCTGACACAAGCAGGGTGCTGGAAGGGAAAATGTAGCATTTGGGACACAAATCAGTACCCAAGTTTGATCCTGGCACATGCAAGATGAGGATTTAGACACTGTGCCAGGCCCTGCAGGCACCTTCTATAGATTTTTTCTTTTCCTTTTTTTTTTTTTTTTTTCCTAATATTCAATGTTCAGGGGCCCCACTGTGCTGGCACTATAGCATTGGGTGAAGTTGCCACTTTCAGTGCTGGCATCCCATATAGGCACTGGTAATCCAGCTCCCTGCTAATACATCTGGGAAAGCAGAGGAGGATGGCCCAAGTGCTTGGGCAACTGTACCTAATATGGGAGACCCAGAAGGAGCTCTTGTCTCCTGGCTTTGGAGCAGTCTGGCTCCAGCTATTGTGGCCATTTGGGGGGTGAACCACAAGGGAAGATCTCTCTCTCCATCTCCCTTTCTGTAACTTTCATTACATTTAAAATAAAAAAGCAGGCCCTTGGAGCCAACATAATGGGTAAAGCTGCTGCCTGCTACACTGGTACCTCATATGGGCGTAGATTCCATGTTCCTGCTGCTACATTTCCAGTCCACATCAGTTTCCTGCTGATGGTCTGGAAAAGGCAGTGGAGATGGGCCAAATGCTTAGGCTCCTACACCCACATGGAGACCTGGATGAAGCTCCTGGTTCAGCCTTGGCTGGTGGTGGTCACTTGGCAAGTGAACCAGCAAATGGAAGAGAGCTCTGCCTCTGTCTCCTCTTCTCTCTGTAACTGACCTAAATAACCTTAGCAGATACTAAATCTCTCAAAGTCTTCATCTGGGGTTTTCCACCCTCCATAGCTGTGATACATTTCTATTGTTTATAAGCCCCACAGTTTAAGGTCTTCTATTATAGACGTCTGAATGGACTAACACCTTCCTCTAAGCACAGAGTTTTAGAATGTCTCAAAATGGTTAAATGGGGAATCTACCCCCCTCAGTGTCAGTAACTGACCTGCAGCAAGTAGGCGAAGTCGTAAGCCTGAAGGTCCAGTTCCATCTCGAAGAACATCTACACTTTCGGCATAGACATTGCCCAGGAAACAGCTCAGGGGCATCACGGGAGCCCTGGAGACAGCATCCAGTGAGCAGACGCTTGGTCCTCCCTCCCAGGGAACCCGTGGCGTCAGCGTGCTCCTCACACTTACTTGGTGTCCTGGAGGCTGTTTCCACTGTAGATGTACATTCGTTTTACAGTTGCTCCATGGGGTATTTGGAGGGAAGCTAGACCATGGGCAAAATTGGGCTGTAAACAGACAAGAAGTACCTTGCAGGCCATGCGACTAGGGTCTGGTCCCCCTCCAACCTCATGGTCCTTGAAAACTGGTCAGGTCAAAGCACACAGTCAAACTTGGCTCTGGGTTGTTCAATAAACTCATCCCAAACATCTTTAATTTTACTTGTTTTCTTCATCAGGAAATAATATAAAGATGATTTCTTAATAGAACATGTAAGTCTTTTAAAAACTATATTATTGCCTGGAGACAAATGGAGTGTTTACTAAAAGCTACACATAACTGAAAACACAGCAAACGAAATCTCCAAATTCTTAGCCACTAAGAAAACCACAGTGAGTATGAGCTTTAACATGACACCTAACTGGGTTTACCCCTAAAAAAATGAGCCCAGTAAGCAGGAAATACCTTCTTCCTGGGGATGCCCATTGGGTCTTGCTCTTCCTGTCCAGCCTACGCTACCACTTTAGGCCCCTTAAAAACCCAAAGACAAGGAAGCCAAACAAGGCTGCCTAGCCAGTTTCTCCTCCCTCATGGCACTGCCTGCTGTCCCACACCAAGGGATAGGAAGGGCTGACCTCATACTTGGGAGCCTCAGTCCAGGAGTCTAATTGAAAAGAGAAGGACAGTCCTCTGAAGTTGAGGTGAAAGAGCTGCTCAGCGGAGTTGTACACTGTGGAGTGGGGAGAAGAAAACAGTATAGCTGTTGAGTTTCTGAAACCGCTGACATAAAGCAACCTGACAAACAGCAGTACCTCATGTGGGGCCCCAATTCTAAGTTGAACTACTAGGTACAAGAAAGAACTTTCCTTCACACCCTAGTACCAACCCCCAAATCCTACAGGAGTCCACCTTCAGAAGTAGGGTGAGGTGCTGATTTTATTGCAGTTGGCTGCCACTGGTATCCAATGGAAACAAAGGAACTTGGCTTACCTCCAGGATGGGTTGCGCCAAAAGATTGGTCAATCTGTTCAATAGTAGGAGCTATGGCTTGAGAATTGAAATGTACTCCACTGCAAAACAGGAAGAGAGAGAAAAACGTCTCTCATTTGCTGGTTCACTTCCCAAAAGTCTGTAACTTCTTGGATTGGGGTCAAGCTAAAGCCAAGAGTTAAGAACTCACCAGGGCCCTCCTGCTCAGGCTCTGGTGCAGAGCAGCAGCCATGCTGTGTGTTATCCCATGGCCACAGGCCTCAATAAAGGCCACAAGGTAATGAAGAACATGAGCAAGCTGAGGCACAGCTAGCACCACAGGCAGCTGACCAAGCACGCCAAGTTTGTGTAGGGCATGATCTGGGAGTGTGTGGCTTCACCTCCTGAGTGTTGCACTATGGAGTTGCTCAAGGTCTCCAAGGACAAATGGGCACTCAAGTTCATCAAGAAGAGGGTGGGCACGCACATCCGTGCCAAGAGGAAACGTGAGGAGCTGAGCAGTGTGCTGGCCGCCATGCTCAAGGTAGCCACCAAGAAGGGCTGAACAGCCCACCTATCCCTGTCCCCACACCCTGGAAATAAAACACTGTGGTGTTGAGCTCAAAAGCAAACAAACAAAAAACAATAAAAAACCAACCACTCAAACAGGGTCTCCCTTGCGGGTGGCAGTATCCAAATACCCAAGCCAACCAGCAACTGCTGCCTCCTGGGGTGCACATTAACCAAGAAGCTGGAAAGGGGAGTGGAGCGCAGACCCAAACCCAGGCATTCTGAATGGGATGAGTGTGTGCTGGTCATGGCCTTACAGGTATGCCAAATGCCAGCCCCTAATGAAACAACTTTGAAATAAGAGGATAAGCTCAGTTACTATGAAGCTGAGACAGAATCAGTTCTCCTGGACTTCTAAAGACACTACTGACAATGAACAAAAGGGCAGAGAGGAGAAAGCCAGACCTTGAGACAGTAAAGTGACCAGAAACTTGAGTCTGCAGGAGCTACTGCACGTTTGCTTCTCCACCCTTCTGTGAACAAGAGCTGCCTAAGGTGCCCCAGAATCCCAACCTCTTCACGCTTTTGTTACAAAAGGAGAGGCTAACTCAAAAAACTATTCTAGATATTAACATACTACCTCACATTAGTAGGGGCCCCAAATTCCTGGATTGTACAGGTCATCCCCATTTTCATCTAAAGGGCAGCCTTCAGCTCTACCATGATGGTCTTTGCTGTTCTCTTTAGCATAGACAGACTTTGAAGTCAGGCATGTGATCTGACCCACCTTTGCTGCTCATAAAAATATTTGGAAAAAAGTTGCTAGAAGAGGCTGTGTAAGGAATGGCATGTGACTCAGTCTGTCACACCGCCTTTGAACTGAGGCCCTGTTTTGTTGGGGTTACATCAGAAAGACACATGTGAAGTATTTAACACAGCAGATCCTTATGAAGTTTTACTTCTCTTCCACCAGGGAACTGAGCAGGCTTGAAGGTTGCCTCAGGACGCACGGCTGCAATTCCTGGGCTGCTGCACGTGGGAGCCTTGCTAATGTAACAAAGGCAGTGGATAAGGCTTCTCTGTATCAAGTGGACAGTGGGAAAGAAGACTCACCAGTATTTTAACTTCACTTTAGTCAAGTCATATACTTCAATCACCTTAAAAAAAAAAGCTTGAGTTGTTAATTAGTTTGATGACAAACAAAACTGAACAGATATTTATGGTATAAATAGTACATTTATGGGAAAAACACTCTCCAACTCTGCTACCCTTATTTCTCCCAGTGGACTGCACATGGATCAGGCCTGGGTAGCCAGTCCCCAGCTGAATTGTACTGGGTGACACTCTCCCAACCCCTCTCACCCAGGGCAGCAACATTTTCCAGAGAAACAGACGCACGCAGCCCCAAGGCTCTGAATGCAGAGCCCATTCCTTCTACTCCATACTTTGATATATTATAAAAACTCAAATCTAGTTCCTTTTAAAAACAGCTTATAAAAGTTTATTTTCCTCACAAAATAAAAATATGGAGGGACAGTTCTATCTTGCAAGAAAATAGGGTACAATACTGGCTCAGGCTACATGTGTGTTTGGTCATGTCCCTAAGAAGCATATGGTTGAAACCATCTGATGAACCTCAAGACCCTTGTGAAGTTTTTTTTCTTTTTTAATAAAACATTCACTCTCTCATTTCATCCGCATCTATATCTTTCCCAGTTTTTTAAATGTCACCAAGATTACTTGTCCCGACACTTGGGTCATCTTGTGTTGCTTTACCAGGCACAACAGCAGGGAGCTGGATTGAAAATGGTGCAACTAGGACTTGAACCAGAGTTCACATGGGATGCTGGCGGTGCAGGAGGTGGCTTCACATGCAGTACCACAATGCTGGCAATGAAGTTTGCTTTTTACTGGGTTCAGCCTCAGATGAAATGCCAAGATGCATTTACATAACTGAATATTAGCCACAGAAAAGGAAGAAATCTTGTCATTTGCAATAACATGGATGTAACTGGAGGTTGTTATGTTAGGTGAAATCAGCCAGGCACAGAAAGATAAGTACTGCATGATGTCCCTTACTGTGTGTCTAAAAAGATGATCATATGAAAGTTAAACTATAAAGGTCAACAGAGGCTTGGCAGGAAAAAAGGGAAGGTTAATTTAATGGGTACTAAGTTATAGATTGGGATAAAAAAGTTGGGGTTCCACTGCACAATAGGAACGTCTACAGATATTAATGTACTATATGAACATTTCTCTATGAAACAGAACAGAGGGGCCTGGTGTAGTGGGTTAGGAGAGCACCTGCGATGCCAGCATCCCATATGAGAGCTGATCTGAGTACCACCTGCTCCACTTCTGATCCAGCTCCCTGGAAATGTGCCTGGAAAGCAGTGGAAGAATGCAAAGTCCTTGGAACCCTGTCACACACTTGGGAGATCTGGATGGAGCTCCAGGCTCCTGGCTTCAGCCTGGTCCAGCCTAGGCAATGTAGCTACTTGGGGAGTAAACTAGAGGATGGGAAATCTCTTTCTCTGTAGCAATTTCAAATAAATAAATCTTAAATATAACAGAAAGCAGGATTTTTAAGTGTTCACTACACATAAATGTTAAATATTTAAGAAGATACTTTTGGGTCTCAGACCCTGTGTCTAACTTTGTTTAGAGATAATAACAATGAATCAAGTTGGATTCTGATTATTCTGTAACTGTTTTAATCCTATTTTCTGGAAAGCCCTGCTCCATCTGCCGGGCTGGCACAGCCCCTAAGCAAGCCAACCCTTTCCTTCCCACCTGGCTGTACATTTCACTCGTACATCTGACTCACTGGTTTGCACAGGGAAGGTGCTACATGCACATCAGGCAAATCTGCCTGCTGTGAAGCTAGTTAGGGCAATGTGAAGCTTGCAAGCATAAAAATAGGTACAGGAGGGCACAGCGTGGTGGCCCAATGGCTAGAGTCTTTGCCTTGAATGTGCCAGGATCTCATATGAGCACTGGTTCATATCCTGACAGCTCTGCTTCCCATGCAGCTCCCTGCTTGTGGCCTGGGAAAGCAGTAGAGGACGGCCCAAAAGCCTTGGGACCCTGCACGAGTGTGGGAGACCCGGAAGAGCTCCTGGTTCTGGATCAGCTCAGCTCTAGCTGGTGCCGCTGCTTGGGGAGTGAACCATCAGATGGAATATCTTCCTCTATCTCTCCTGCTCACTCTTATGTATCTGACTTTGCAATAAAAATAAATCTAAACAAACAAAAAAACCCCACAGGTACAGGAGGAGACAGTATCCTCTTCTGAATGCCCAGCTGGCACATCATTTCACTGAGGCCAGGGCTTTGTGCTTGCAGAGGGCTTCCATCTTCAGAGCTCTGCTCGTAGCTACTCTGCCTCCCCAGCTGCTAACCCTACAGCTGACAATTAGCCAATGAGCCCAGAAAGATAAATCTGCCATCTACCCTGTGGGGCAGGCCTCCATAACGTTCCCCCTTGTCATTGTCACCTACCAGTCAACAGTTAAAATAAACAGATATGGATAGATAGATAAGGGGCTACTATAGTTGCATAGCAAGCTAATCCTATGTGTGTAAGCACCAGCATCCCATACCAGCACTAGTTCATGTCCTGGTTGCTCCACTTCTGTTTCAGCTCCTGGCTTCAGATCAGCTCAGCTCTGGCCATGTGGCCATCTGGGGAATAAACCAGCAGAAGGAAGACCTCTCTGTCTCTCCTTTTTCTGTAAATCTCACTTTCGGGCCCAGAGAGATGGCTTAGTGGGTAATCTTCACCTTGCATGCGCTGGGATCCTATAAGGCACCGGTTTGTGTCCCAGCTGCTCCACTTCCCATCCAGCTGCCTGCCTGTGGCCTGGGAAAGTAATAGAGGATGGTCCAATGCCTTGGGACCCTGCACCCATGTGGGAGACTCAGAAGAAGTTTCTGGCTTAGGATCGGCTCAGCTCTTGCCATTGTGGTCACTTGGGGAGCGAACCAGTGGAGAGAAGGTCTTTCTGTTTCTCCTCTCTGTAAATGACTTTCCAATAAAAGTAAACAAACTTTTAAAAAGCTGCCTTTCGAATTAAATTGTAAAGAGTGAAATTTAAAAGTACATATATATGTTAAAACTAGGCTTATTTTGATTTATTTGAAAGGAAAACAAAAGGACTAGCATACAGACACAGGTACTGATCTATTGACTGGCTTACTCCCCAAACGCCTGCAATAGCCCAGGCTGGCCCTGATCAAAGCCAGGAGCTCAATGCAGATCCCCCATGTGGGTGGCAAGGATCCTACTATTGAGCCCTGATTTGCTCCCTTCCAGGGTGTGAACTGGCTTGGAAACAAGAATGGAAAATGGAGCCAGGACTTGAACCCAGGGACTCTGACACAAGCATCCCAGACAGTGGCTGACCTGGCTCACCAAGCCCGTCCCTCAAGAACTATCTGTGAAGGGTAGTTGTGTTATTAGGTTAGTGGTCCCCTAATCTATGATGTTACACTGAAGCTTATCCTGTGCCCTTTCACACTGGTGACAGGAGGTTCTCATGGCATCCCTCGATTTTCCCCTGTGCTATTTCACTCTGCAGCTTCTTGTGACAGGCTGCTGAGAATGGGGAAGTACTCGATTCTTTTTTCAGAAAGGCTACCCAACCTAACCAAAACAATGGCTCTACTACACTACTGCCTGGAGTCCAACAGTCAGCCTTGTGACTCTGAGGCATGAGCTTGGCATCACATGACCTTCCTGGGATGCCAGGGCCCATGTAACTATATTCAAAACATCCGGGACTGAACAGGTGCTAGGCAAACTACATCTGAATGCCAATTAAGGCAGCCATGAATCCCAGCATACTTGTTTACATTTCCTCAAGTAGGTTAAAGGATCAACTTGTTGCTGGTGGCATCAAGTCCAAGCTCCAACCTTCTAAGGAGTTTCATTTCCTATCTCCCAAGCCACGATGACACAAGAATGAAGTTTAAGAAACAAGATATAAAAACTTGATTTATAGTTGATTGGTCTAATTCTGTAGGTAGGTCCCATGTTTTTAATACTTAAATACAGCTTAAGGGCAACCTATGCCAGATACTCAGCTAGTCTTAATTTTCCTATTCAAAACCAAAACGCGTTCTCCATAGCATGTTCCACATTTTTTTTTAAAGTAAGATGCGTAGAGAACTGGATTGGAAATGCAACATCCAGAACTAGAACCAGTGCCCATATGGGAATGCCAGTGTCCCAGACAGAGGCTTAGCCTACAGTGCAACACTGGCCCTTAAACATATCTTAACACTCTTATTCCAGAGCGTAAGATGGCAGCCTTTCCTAGCCTTTTTTTTTTTAATTTATTTTTTAAAAAAGGTTTATGTATTTGAAACAGCTACAGAGAAAAACCAAGACCTTGTATGTGCTACATCACTTCCCAAATGGCCTCCGTGGTTGGGGACAAGCTAGACCAAAGTTAGGAGCCAGAAGTGTCATCCAGGTCTCCCGTGTGCGCAGCAGGGACCTAAGTACTTGGGCCATTTTTTACTGCTTTCTCCAGGGAGCTAGCTTGGCAGTGGAACAGCCGGGACGCCGAGCAGTGCTCATGTAGGGTGTCGGCACAACTTGGACCTTGCTGTCCTAGCCCCTTTCAAATAACCCCAACCTATCAGAGAATCATGCAGAACCTCGTCCCTACACTGTGATGGTCTCTAAACCAAGGATGGCCATAGCAACTTACAAGTTTATGAAACATTTCACAACAGCATGTACCAACCAGAAAAACTGGCTCAGCTGGAAATGAAACATTAGTTGTTATTATAGTTACCTTAAGTCTCTGATTGAAAGCATCAAACAGTAGTTTGATCCCATCCTGAGTCAGGTTAAGAATGAGGTCGTGGCTTAAAGGAGACTGCAAAACAAAAATAAAACACACTTTGAACCACTGATTTCTTCACCAGCATCTACTAAAAAGCCTTACTGTATAAATGCAATGCACAGGGAATACCTAATTGCGGGCAGTCCCTCCCCACCGCCCCAAGCTAATGAAGTTTGGAAGCCAGAAAAAAAAATGTGAAGTGTACTTCCAGCCTGCACTTCTGCTTTATGACAGTGGGTGCAAAAACCCTCTTTTTCCCAGGCTTCAGTCTAAATGCCTGGGTGAAAAGGACAACGCCATTAGCATATAGGTCACTGTCTTTTGGGCTCCAGGGTTCACAGACTTGAGTCTGCTGCCATCAAACCTGCAGAGCAGTCAGTGAGGATGCAGGATATGTGAAAAGCCCACAGCCCAGACTCAGCAGACAAGGCTTCTGCACATCAGCTGAAGCCACACTCATTCACCAAGCTCCTTGTTCTCTGCATGGCACACAGTTTACTCTGAACACTTTAGGCTAAGTTCTGTAACAAAAATACTTCTTGACACGGTCATACACGAGACTGCACTCTTTCTCCTTCTCTCTGCCCGCTTACCACCACTCCACATCACACATGCTCTTCCTAGAGAGCTGCACCTAAGACCCGATCACCGCGCCTAAGAACTGGTCACAGCTCTGCATTTTCTCCTGAATCCTGGGGAAAAGGGAGCAGCAGCACAGAGCAGGGAACAGAATCCTGGTGACCTCTGGGGACTCTCACAAACTTCTCTCAGCTTTGGTTTCCTCACAGGCACACCTTCATCTCTTTCCTTCAAGCTGTTTTGCGGACAGAGACAGTAGGTCAGAATGCACCAGGACAGCAGCTGGCACACAGCACTCCTCGGTAGCTGTCCAGTCAGTCAACATTTCAAGGATTCAATGACTGAAGACTCCTCAGTGCTGACCGAGTCTGTGCAGTAGCACAAGAAAAAAACACCAAGCATCCACATTTCTGGTCTTCTCAAAAGTAGCACACAGGTGCCCAGAGGATTTACATTAGTTTCTTTATGGAGCTTCTCGAGGTAGACAGGTAGATGATGGAGGACAGAAACCTGGGCATTAAAGCCAGATGCTATTGCCAATACAGGCCTCACCAAGAAATTTGCTCCCAAGAGCTTTAGAAGATTAGCTCAGACTGTTTGCTCTTCTGCGTCACTGGCCTTCCAGAGGTAGCAAGAACATGACTGGTAAAAACTAGAAAGACGTTAAAATTTTCCAGTACATCTGTGTGAGTGTCTAAGCCATGAGGTCTCAAGCAAGGTAACAGAACAGTGAACCTCCACACTGGGCTACCTACTCTCAACCCAGACACAAAGTTCTATTTTGGACAGGCTCATTCCAGATGCAAACAAGATAAGGCAACACTTTAGTTCCTTCAGATTTTTGCTTGGAGGCAGAATGCAGGGAAGATCTCAATTTTCCTATTCTCTCTCAAATACTATTACTACACAATTTTCAAAATCAAATCATTCTCAAATTAATATTTCTTTTTATTGCAAAGTCATTTTTTTATTGGAAATACTGATTTGAGGGCCTGGTACTAAAAGTTCTTGCCTTCCACGTGCCAGGACCCCATATGGGTACCAGTTCTAATCCTGGCGGTACTGCTTCCCATCCAGCTCCCTGCTTGTGGCCTGGGAAAAGCAATTGAGGACAGCCCTAGGCACTGGGACCCTGCACCTGCATGGGAGACCCAGAAGAGGCTCCTGGCTTCACTTGCGGAGTGAATCATCAGACAGAAGATCTTCCTCTCTGCCTCTCCTTTGTGTATATCTGACTTTCCAATAAAAAAAAAAAAAAAAGAAGTCTTTTAAAAAAATTATTTACTTGAAAGGAATAAAGAGACAAAAACCAGCTGTTGAACTCTCATCTGCCTTTGCACTGCCCCCATGCATCAACTGAATAGACCAGGCTAGGCCTAGTCAGAAGCTAGCAACTCAACCTGGGCCTCCCACATGTATAGCTGGAACTTACCTACTTGAGCCATCAGTGCTGCCTCCCAGAGTCCGCATTAGCAGGGAGGAGAATCAGAAACAGAGCTGACGCTAAAATTGAAGCTTTCTGACAGGGGTTGCAGGTGTCTTATGCTAAATGCTTGTCTCCCTCTTTTGTGTTTAAATGTGAGGTAGTTTCCCCATGGCCTAATAGTGATAGCTGGATTAGGCTACAGTTGAACTGAGAGCAAGGTGAAAAATCAACCATCTACCCTTCACTATAAATGAGAAACCACATTAGTACTGTTTCAAAGAACCCCTTGGGAACACCTGTGAATCTGTCCTATTGCAGGCACCCTGCATAAATACCTACACCCCTGCTTGGAGAGCGAGCACCCCTCTTCTCAGAAAGATGCTTGACAGAATGGCTCACCATACTGGCAAAAACATACAGGACTGCCCAGCGAAAGTTCTGGGTATAAGTAACAGGTCCGATTCTGATTCTACTCTCGGCCAAAGCAGGAAGCGTCACAGAAAGGTTACCCACCTATCTTGTGCAAAACTCTTGTTAAAAATGAGCTATCAGTTGCTTTAGGATTGGAAATTAATTGGAACATGTGGTCCTGAAACCATCAGACCATTACCCTGCGAGTCAGAAAATCCATCGAGGATATCCTTGAGTCTCTGCAGGCTCAACATGATCTCTTGAAGCTTGTGACATATGGGTTGCTCTGCATGGCAAGCAGCCCGTCACAGACAAACTGTGCTTCACAGCTCAGTAGCGAGCGACTGTGAGTGGGAGACATCCAGTGACAAGGCTATATGCACTACTTTTCAGTCTGGTATGCTCTGCCAGCTAGCAATCTGTACCACAACAATCCTTCCTAAAAATATCTGTTTATCTGAAAGGTAGAGTTGACAGAAACACCTCAAGAGATCTTCTGGTTCACTCTCCAAACGTCTGCACCAGTTTGTGCTGGACCCAACTGCCAGGAACCCCTGCTGGGTCTCCCGTGTGGTCAGCCAGGTGCCCATCATCTGCTGCTTTCCCAGATATGGCAGTAGAAAGGTTAGTCAGAAGCTGGGTCCATGTCACAAGACAATGCCTGCCCCTACAGTAATCCTGAGCACAAACTAACCAGCAAAGCAGAAGAGGCAAGTGATGGCAAGCACACTAGAGGACCAGGTGACTTCAGAAGTTTCTAAGGGCCAGTAGGTAAGTCAAGACAGACAAAACTGGTCCAATTGTTACTGTTGTTCCAAACCCAGCAGCACCAGATAATCGAGAATAGTCACAACACTTTTGGAGGTGACAATTACTGAGTTTAAGAAACTTTAGCCACCACTCACCTGTTCACTGTAGAGAACCTGGACATTTTTGATGATGCGACAGTGCTTCTGAAGAATGGCTACTGCCTGAGCCAGAGGCATGCCTGAAATAAAGCAAGAATACCTGTGTGATTACTTAGGCTATCCATTCTGATAGCTACCTCTGTGTGGGCACTAAGCCCTGCAGGGGAGCCCAAGGAAGGGTGGTGTTGGGGGCACTGACAATTTCCTGCCCTGTGATTGGCCCTTTGCCCTGATTGGTCTGCCTTGGTTATCTTTAAGCTGATTGGACAGGTTTGACAGATAAGCGGGGGGGGGGGGGGGGCCTGGCGGGGGAGGGGCGCCAGCATAACAGAACGGAAGATCGGAATAAAGCGCCTCAGAGACTCTCTCTCAAGTGTTGGGTGATTTCTTCCGTGGGATGGGAGGACCCCCATAGGGTGGTACTACTAAAGCTTAGAAAGGTTCAAGGAGAAGCAGAGCTAGACAAAGGAGAGCAACAAGCACTGAGGGGACAGTCAGGAGGGGAGCGCCTGAAGGATTCCTGGGAATGCAGGTCTGTTACATTGATTTCTTGACTGGGAGACCATGGACCCAGCCCTCACTCTGCC